ATTAGCTACTTTTATTAAATAAATGGATTACTCAGTGGCATTTTCCTGAAGCTGTGAAGCTGTGTTCTCCATCCCCGCTCCCTCACAAGTTTCTCGCTCATTCCAAACTTTCTTTCTGCTGCTCGATTACCGTTTTCGGCTGCATATTTCACTATTTGCAGAAGGACAGCGGCCTTTTTCTGCAGGAGGCATGCGCAGTAGAGTGCGAAGTGACAGTGGTACAGGAGTAATAGTAGTACTAGACACTGACAAACAAGCCTAGAGCGCCCTCTCGCGGCTGTCAGTCTGAAAATTTCAATATATAAGTTGCACCGGAGTATAAGTCGCAGGACCACCCAAACCATGCAAAAAAGTGCAGCTTATGGTCCGAAAAATACGGTATTCATTTGAATTTTCTCCAATTGATACTTTGTAGTGACGTCACACAAAGCTCAGATTAAGTCTAACAGACCTTCAGACAGAGGAGTGCCTCTAGTTAGCTTCATCCAGCTATCCACCTTGTACACATACAGTGGAGTGTGTATGGAGCGTGTTAGGGCCGTAGGGCTCACACAAACCTATGTACCAACATGTACTCCATTTGCAGTCTCCTAGCGTCCCCCGGGGGAGCCACGGCTAGTGTAGGGGTGAAACTAAGGGTGCGTCTCTCTCTTCACGTTCCCTACTTGCGCGTTAATAAATCGACCATACTCGCACGACTGCCGGCTCACTCATTTTCAATAAACGCAGCGGAGCGTCTAATGCCTTCCCTCCGTCAGTTAGCCGCTATTAGCCCGTAGATGAATATGGGCCCCTCTGTTCTGATGGAGCGACCCGGAGACGCAGCCCCCGTGAGCGCCCTGACACGATGATGAATGGCTCCGGGGCCCGATTCAAACACGATGGAGCAGGACATTTCACAGACAAGAGGAAAAAGGAGAGTTTGAAACGGCGCAGGTGGAGGTGATGTGTTGCCAGGAATAGACACAGACCTGTTATTATGGGTTTTATTTGACATCACAACGTATGTATTGGTCAATTAAATGTTATACAGACAGCAAAATGAGCAGGCTGCTGTTAGAATGCAGAGTTTGTTAAAGGCGATATCCACAGTTATTACTTTTTAAAGCACTACATCTTAATTATTTACTCAAATCATGAAAAGCTGTCTGACAGGTAGAGCTTGTGGCGTGAAAATCTTTCTAAATTATTGTGTTGTGTATTTACTGTGGCAAACCCAATATGAAAGTTAAATGACTTATTATAAAACATAGACAAGTGCTATTTTGAATGACGAAAATCTAACAAAATTCATTTTAAAAAGCATCCAAAGTTCTCAATTTTGTACACAAATTACAGTTTAAACGGTGTCTCTGTTCCACCACCACCACCTTTTAAACCTCACTTTGTTCCAGGGCATACTGGCTACTGTCACTAAAATCTCTGTGTTCCTACGAAAACAATAAAAGGCTTTGTTGGGAATAATTGTTGTGAACATTTTGGGATATTTCAATAAATGAACTCAGAAAACAATGAAAACTGAAATAGCTAAATTTATTCTTCAGAAACACAAAAACCTGAGAGATTGTAACTTAATTATTCAATTGACCTTTCATTATTATGAACTGATTATAATAGGACTTCACTTTTAGAGTGATAGGACAATCTTTTCAACAGACCCTCTTAATAAATGGCTGAAATGATGTGCAAATGTTTCTCAAAGGCAGTGTAAGTGGGATGTCAAGTAGGGTAGTTTCCCCTGTGTTTACACGGACACCAAAAATTAAAGCTGATCATTGTCTGATTTCTGGAGTTGTCAGATTAGAGAAATGTCACGTATCAGTTACATCTGATGTGAATAATGTGATGTCCTCTAGACTGTTCACACCCGTGCAAGGTTTGACTCAGAGAATAACACAAAAAAGGCCAAACTAACTTTTTAAAAATGAATTATACTTTGTCTTTCAAATACAATAGTTAACAGTTAAAGAGTCTATATTACACTATTCTGATCTATAGTCCAATGAGGTTCATTTGGTCTTCCAATAATTTATGTTGTTAGGTTCTTTTTTCAGACCAAGAGTTTGTTTTCATACCTGACAGTTTCGACTGCTCCCTGCTGTCTTCCTTAGAGTGGCCACGTGATGTTGCTGAGACATGCCCAGTCAGCTCATTTATACAGATTTTGGCGCTATCTTCCTACTAGAGAGAGGATGACAGCGCCATCTGCAGTCCAACTTCTTCAGGACAGTATCTCAGGTGTGTGAAAGTAAAAAAGCCCCCTCGTCTCAGTTTATAGTCCCGTGTGCACGTTTCCGTATTTCGATTGCCTCATTAATCCAGCGACAGTGTTTGTTTGCCTCTGTCCCATTGATGTTTCCATGGGACTATAAACCGGGACAAGGGGCTTTTTTACTCTCACACAGTTGGGATAATGTTCTGAACAACTTAGACTGCATATGGCGCTGTCGTCCTGCCTCCACGGGTAGGAAAACTGCCCCAAAACCTGTATAAATCAGCTGACTGGACACGTCACAGCAACATCACGTGACCACTCTGAGAAAGACTACAGGGAGCACTCGAAACTATCAAGTATGAAAACAAACTCTTGATCTGAAAAAATAACCTAATAACATATTCTGATCTATGTTATAATGTTGTTTCCTCATCACAAACTTAGAGTTGTGTTTTGTTTCATTCACACGTTTAACTCTCAAATCCTGCATTTTTAGACTCTCAAACAGAAAACACTCCATATTTTCATGTGTAATGTGTAGTCAAATGTCATGTGGTAATATGCAAAGTTCTCCAATCTGGTTTTAAGTTTAGTATACCTCAACTAGAATAATCTGGACATTGACTTGACATGTTAGTGTTTGATGATCACACCAAAACATGAGATCTAATTACTGGGTTATCTGATTATTCTTGTTATCTCATTTTAACTGGCCATGTAAATGTACTCACCCTTTATTCTACAGCTGGATCCACTATACTCAAATCAGTTCATGTCCCATATTGTCATTTTCTGCCCTACATTCTCATCCCACTTAAGGGGCCAGTGCCTTATTTCTTCTTCAAAATTTGTCGTACCTCAGCACAGATATAGGTGTATTGTATAAGCAGCTCCTGAGGTCAAAGTAAGTTCATTGTGTACTGTCTGCATCTACAGTAACTACAAAGCCTTTTATTGTCAGAGAATCAGGAAGTGTGTGGTTAGCATGCCAGCTATTAATAAATCTCTCCTCTGATATCTGAAAGTTGTGTAAAGGGCATATATATAGTCAACGCAGTGAATAATTAGTAAGCTTGGAATATATAAAGTAAGTGAGGAATAACTGTTTTAAATGAACTAGATCTCCAACTCCCACAGTAACTCCCTTGTTTTTATGACTCATCTCACAAGGAGGGTAATTTTACTGAAATGAAAGTCACCACAGCTTCCATCATTTGCACAGTGGCTCAGGGATGTTTTATATTTTCTCAAACTTGTGAAGATCAGAATGACGCTTTATGGCTCCTCTGATGGTTATGAGGTTTACACAAATATGGCAAATTAGCTTCTCTACTATTCCTGATTAACTCTTTTCCCGAAGACCTTTCTTTACTCACTTTTATTTGGCATTTTTATAATTGACCATCTGCTGCTTTATTTAGTTTCATGGGTTTTCACATTAATATTTGTAATCTTATTTGGGGACATGATGGATACAGATTGTCAGGATGGGTAATTTTATCTTTTTTATTATTTGGGTGGAGAGTGGTGGTGTGGGTGTGGGTGTGTGTCATTTTATTATAAAAGGAGATTGTGCAGAAAACCTTTTTATTTACCTTTACTATTGGTGATGTAACGTCAATTTTGTATAGTTTCTGTATAAGTAACATTTTTTTAAATTAAAAACAAAACAACAACAACAAGAACTAGTTTTTCAGGTTTTAAGACCGTAAAAGTCAGGTACAGCGGATATAAACTTAAAAGTTCACTATGTGACTTTTTGGTTGGGGGTCCGTCACCTGCTTGTTTCCATGGAGATGTCATTGCTCTACGTGGAATGTTCCACAGCATGACATTAAACAGCTCTATCTTACATTTATTCAATCACAGATGTTTATATAGGTTGAAAATACCTTGAAAAACAGACATTCTTACCTTTACTTTACCTTTACTTTACTTACCTTTACTTTTGGTGATATAACGTAAATTTTGTATAATTTCTGTATAAGTCAAACAGAAAAAAAAACAACAACAACAAAAAAAAATAGTTTTTCAGGTTTTAATACAGTAAACGCCAGTACAGCACCTATAAACTTAAAGGTTCACTATGTAACTTTTTGGTCACCTGCTTGTTTCTACTGTATGGATATATCATTGCTCTACCTGGAATGTTCCACAGTATGGCAATAAAAAGTTCTACCTTACATTTATGCAGTCACAGATGTTTTTATAGATCAAAAACACCAAGAAAAACAGACAGTCTGACCTTTTTACTTTACTTACCTTTACTTTTGGTGATATAACGTAAATTTTGTATAATTTCTGTAAATGTCAAATAAAAAAACAAACAAAAAAACAACAACAACTAGTTTTTCAGTTTTTAAGACAGTAAACACCAGTACAGTGCCTATAAATTTAAAGGTTCACTATGTAACTTTTTGGTTGGGCGCCCGTCACCTGCTTGTTTCTTATATATGCGTCTACTATATGGATATGTCTTTGCTCTGCCTGGAATGTTCCACAGTATGGCATTAAACAGCTCTACCTTACATTTATTAAATTGCAGATGTTTTTATAGATCAAAAGTACCTAGAAAAACAGGCATTTTCACTGTGAGCGAGGTCGCCTCTCCACAGATCTGACCTGTAAAATGCTCTTGTTTGGGCTCCATGACGCTAGAAAGGTTTAACACCATACTACACACTGGCCCTCTTTCAGAAATGTTACACAATGCATCTTTAGCCAATGTCTCTAAACTCCCTCACTATGTGCTTCTAACTTTCCTGTGTGGATGTGTTCTGATCAGATGGACCACGAGCGAAAGTGGAGCTGGCAGCACTTCACTCAGAGCCAGAGCAGAGCCGTGACCCAGCAGTGGCACAGGGACCGCGAGGAGCTGCTGGCCCGGGCCCTGGTCACCCTGCAGGAGGCCAAACACGCCCACCAGGAGGCGCTAGACCTCCACAGAGATAGACAGCAGCAGAAGGGACATCTGCGCTCAGCTCCACGCCAAGGTCAGTACACGGGTCACGGAGCACTGAGCAAACACACTGTACACGCCAATGCCGGACAAATAGTGGAGTTAATTTTTTACACGATTTAGCCTGATATTTGATTGTTGTTGTGAAAGATTTATAGACTTAGGCTTAGATAAACTCTATTGTGTCTTTATAAAGCAATGGTTAAAGCTGAGTGTTGATCAGCAGACTCTTCATCTAGGTATGATATTTATATTATTTACATACACATCCCCATTAGTACAAATTAATACTTGAAATGAAACTGTACATTGCATTATTCATTGCCTCTTCTGGTGATGGAAAGCTATTTAGGAAGCGATAACTGCTCAGGGGGGTAAACTGATGCTCTGCGTATTTGTATTTCTACTCATTATCTTGTTGTTAACAGTTTTTAAAGGTCCTATATTATACAAAATGACTCTTGTGAGCTTTAAGCCATGTTAGAATGTTGTTACCTCCTCAAAAACAAAAACAAACCAGGAGTTATGTTTTGTTCACATGTTTGTCTACATCTCCAACGCTCAAAATGCTCTGAGCCACCTTGTGATTTCATGTTAACAGCTACCTTTTACTTGAAATGATCCAAATCATTCTAGTGAAGGTGTATGGAATTAAAACACACTTCCTGTATTACCACATTTGATCGCAAGGTGTCTAAACAGCCTAAATATGCAGGGTTTGTGTATTAATGTTTAACACACAAACTCTGCATATGTGAATGAATGAAACTCAACTCCAGGAATCAGAATATAACATAATATGGGCCCTTTAAATATATGTTTGCTCACAATTCTTAAATGTAGTTATTTGGTTAAAAAATCATAAGGTTACAAGTCTGATTAATAAACTTGAAAAAAGGCAGTAACGAGCACACAACTCTACAAGCAACAGATATAAACTCTCATTTGTGCCAACCAGGCCGGTCACCATAATGTCTATATTAATTTATCGTTCAGTGTATGAAAGCTGGAACAATACTGTATATTTTGGGACCATTTTTGTAAAAGTGGGGAGATTTTGAGTATATATTTTTGTTGTAATACAATAAGTTTTGAGCTGTAAAAGGTTCTAAGTAAATTCTATGGCTAATTATTGACAAAATAATAGTACATTCTGTTATTTATGTCTTGCAGCTCTTAATGCTCCTGTATATTTAAACATGGATTATCCTGCTTTATTGTTATTGTATCAGTGGCTAAAAGTAGTTTCAGTATTATAATTCAGTATATCTCTGTAGTGTGTACAATCCCTCAGTCAAAAGTTTATATCTCTGTCGCAATATATTGTGCTTCAAAATGTTTTATCACGACAGGCCGAGTGCCAACCTCTGTAGCACTTTTAAACAAAGCTGTTTCATTTCACACTTAAGTCCCTTTTTATTCACTGTGGCTTTTAGTATCTGTGGAATTGTTGTATTTAAAAGGTTTATATACATGTTTGTTCTTGATTCATTGTTGTCAATAATTCATTCTATTGTGCTCAGAGCTGGTGCTTTGACACTTCATTGTGCACAACTCAAAATGGTCACTTAACAAAGGCACATTCAAATAGTCTTTCTTTGTATTTTTAGTAGCTCAGACTGTTGTCGTCTATGGCTGATGGTAGTGTATGAGTGTGGAACTATGTCTGCAGCTGCAAAGAGACAAATTTCCCCTTGGGGAGAATGAAGTTTATTTTATTTTTTTTAAGTTGAGTATCTGATCCGAAAATACACATCTTGTTATTCTACCCGCTGGAATTGCAAATGACAGACACCAATTAAATTCTTGGTTGCCCTATTTTAACAGCTCTACCCTTTCTTAAAGAGCCCATGTTACGCTGTTTTCTGTTCTGTGTTATAATGTAATGTTAAAATCCTCATCAGAAACATACCTAGATTATTCTTTTATTCACACATGTTTAACACACAAACCCTTCTCTCAAACAGAAAACACTTGATGTTATATGAAGTGCTCTACAGTGGTTCTAAACTCCATACACCTACACTAGAGTCATTTGAATAACTTCAGCCCTGGAATTGCCAATCTCTACTGAATTAAACGTATAAGGTAGCCGTTAACTTGCAAAACTTGCAAACTAGTAAAAGGTTAGCCTGATTCATCAGCTGGTTTCACTTCGTGGAAACTGTCTGACCTCGCAGCATTAGGATTTGTTCTCTCGACGGTAGGCGGGTACTTTTTAAATTTAACTAATCGCTGCTGTTTGGTTGTGACGTATGTAATATGCCAAATCCCGTAGGAAGAAGGGCAATAACGTCTTTCCTCTTGATAAAATTCACCAAATATTCTCTTTGTTCCAGCTTTAAATCCTCGATCTTGGGAATCGTTGCCAACACAGAATGTAGGGCTTTGTCTACATCCATCTCGACCACTTTGTTTACTGTTGTGCTGTGTACCACAAAAAGGGACCCAGACTGGAGCTTGAGTTTGACTTCATGGCTTCACAGCTCTTTGCTGATTGGCCGGTGCAGTCTACAACTTCCAGGGTTCTAGTGTATTCCGATTCCTGACCTAGTCGCTGGAGAGAAATGAAATTGAGCTGAGGTGGCGCCAGCCTGGCTACTAAAAGGTAGCCGTTAACTTGAAAACTACAACTTCATGACATCACAAGGTGGAACAGAGCATTTTGAGCTTTGTAGATGCAGACAGACTAATAATAAAAGGTTACTCAAACATGCGTGAATGAAACAAAACACAACTCTGGGTAAGTTTCGGATGAGATGACAACATTCTAATGTGGTTTAAAGCTCACAAGAGTCAATCTCGTATTATATAGGACCTTTAATACCTTCTTTAACCCTAAAACATATGAGAAACACCAGTATTACTTGTTCCCCTCTTTTTTCCCATCCATTCTGATTCCCTTCCTCTGATATGAACACATGTGCTGTACTCGACACATGAGCGAACAGGCAGCTGCAGTATTGGAGGTGCCAGTACTTCCTCCTATAACACAGTACATCTGCTGACAAGGCCCCGCACACCAGCACTGCCAGTCCGTCTGACACCTTCTCGCTTTGGGTGCCACTCGGGATTGGCTGTGAATGCAAACAAGCTAATAAGGACAGTCTGGCAGAACGCGATGATGCCGTCTCCCATGGGTGCTGCTGCCGCTGTAGTTCAGGATATTTGTGAGAGGCGAGCTAGATCCATGTGCTGTGATGCGCCGCCGCTGCTGCTGTACAAATGGAGTGTGCTAGTGCCTGTGCTTTTGGCGTCATGGCCGATTAGATAAAGGGACATTGTGATGGAGTGAGGGAGGCTGGGAGAGAGGAAAGTGGGAAATAATGGCAACTTTTGGCAAATGATGAGGTATAGACACATTCAGTTGTAATTTTTTTTTTCATATAGCTTAAAGGGCATGTAGCCAATTTTTTTTGGTGTGTGTGTGTCTTTCCCCAGTACAGATATATATGTATAAGCAGCTCTCGAGGTCACAATAAGTCTGTTGTGCACTGTCTGCATCTAATTAGATCCTGATAATCAAGAAGTTCTTGTTAGCATGCTAATAGACTCTATTCACGCTTATGTCACAAACCAGGAAGACGTTTGGAAAGATGCCATTACAACTTCCCAGGCCCAGTTTTCTTCATCTACATGTCATTGTAGCGTTCCGTTATGTTCGGTTAATCAACAATTACAACCATACTTCAGTTTTCATCATTTCCCCACTGACTGTATCAGGTGCCACAGGGCCAGTGGTAAAAAACTTTGTGTCCTTAGTAGGGATAACCAAAATATCGTGATATCGTATCATCAAAGTTCTCGCAATAATATCGTGGGCCGTCATAATATATCGAATTACAAGTCTCTTTGCTTAAATTAAGAGTTATGGTGCAGCAATAGCTAAAAAAAAAAAAAAACAGAGGAAACTACATTGACCATGACCCTTTGCTCAATTTCAGTGCAGACTACAAGAAGAAATAACAGTTCTAAGCACTTTTGAGTCTTAGTTCTTTGGATTAAGTCTTGTCAAGGCTTTTAAAAGTTAATAGTAGCATATTCACAGTTTTGTTAGCTCCACAAAATATTGCAATAAATATCGTACCGTGACATGTATATTGTGAAAATATTGTACAGAGAGATTTGAATATTGTTACATCAATAATCTTGAGCCTCCCCACCATATCGGAAGCTTTCCCACGATATCTCAATAAATATCGTACCGTCAGGTTCATGGTTCTTAGATATCGTTACACCCCTAGTCCATAGGCAAGACACTTCACCCACATTGCTTAGTAAGAAAGTGGTGTGTGTGTGTGTGAGTGATGGTGGTGGTCGCAGGGACTGATGGCGCAGACAGGCAGCCTTGCTTCCTCCAGTCTGCGCCAGGGCAGCTGTGACTACAATAGTAACTTAGCACCACTGGGTAAGAAATGAATTATGCACCAAATTGTAAAGTGACTTTGAGCGTCTGGAAAAGTGCTATGTAAGACTAATGCATCATTGTTATTATTATTATTTGTTTTTCGCATTACTGTGACGGCCAAACTTCGCACTGGTCTAGGAAAATTGCGAAACGTGTTAAGAAGGTCATTCCAGTGAATAATTACGATACTCAGAATGCATAAGGTAAGTGATGAATAACTGCGAATGTTTTTAAGACATCACGAACAATACTTTTAAAAAGACCTTTTGTTCTTGTGTTCACTCTATAGTTGTAATGTATGACAGCCGTGGATCATTATGTTATACTTTCCGCATTTTAAATCTCAGTATTAATCTAAAATGACTCGCTGTAAAAGTCATCACAACAAAGTGCTGTGAAGTGAAAATAAGTGATTAAAGATTGCTCAAATATGCACAAATCACTCCAAACACTACTTGGAATCTGAAAAGTAGATTTTTGCAGAATAGGTCTGCTTTAAATGAAAAAATAGGAAATAACATTAAATTCATATTTCAGGCAGAAAACACTAAGCTATCTCCCCCTTGAGTTTTTAAAAACAGCAGGTGTCTTTTGTCTAATTCCACCACATTTGCAGCAGCGCACAG